ATGGTATCTTCACAAGGAATTTACTCACGTTTTAGAAACCCAATGAGCCGTATTCATAAGACAAAGGATATCCTTGTACTTGCAAATTTTGAAGGAAATCCTCCAGATGGTATTTATAATAATTTGAAGTAAATGCTTTTGCTTATTGAGTATAAGCATATCCTTCAAAGCAGTGACATAAGAAACAGAATATTCATAATCTTCACATTATACTCGGCATAGGAAGCATATCCTTCAAAAATTCAGTAGCAGACTCAACTTCATAACGAAAGGTGGTCAAACGATGATGACGGAAATTGTGGATGTTAGGGATGTTAAAACGTACAAACCTCGTTTACCTTCATTTGGTCGTGACTTATCGGTTCGACGAAGAAAATGTACAATGGTTTGCGGACAGATTTTTAGTTGAGAATGAGGAAACTTGAGGAGGAGCACTTTCATGTATTCATAAAATGAAGATATGTCTGCGCTATCTCGGTGACCCTGGATATCAACAAGGTATTGGTCAGGAACTTGGTGTTAGTCAAGAAACGGTATCTCGGACTCTGGATAGAGTTGTGAACAGCATAGTTGCACAGTCGAACGAATTGATCAAGTTTCTAACCATCAAGCATGAACTGATGGAGGCCAAGCGGATATGGCAAAGCATGTATAAATTTCCGACAGCAATTGCTGTAATTGATTGTACACATATAGGAATCCTGAAACCAAATCGCCATGGAGACAAGTATATCATCCGAAAAGGGAAACCTACTTTATATGTGCAAGCCACTCGTGATGCCAGAGAGATGTTCACAAGTGTTGATGTCAGTTGGCCTAGATCAGTGCATGATTCCAGAATATGGAAAAATTCACAGACTAGATCACAACTAATAAATAAAGCAAATGTTGTACTACTTGGCGATAACGGTTATGGTATTGAGCCATGCCTTATGACTCCCTTCAGAAACCCTACTCCAGGTGCAGAAATAAATCATAATAAGCTTTTAAAACAAGAAAGAGTTATAATTGAACGCTATTTCGGCCTACCCTACAGTATGCTGTCGCGTAAAGTTGGAAAATGTGCCGAAAATAATTATTGCTTTTAGTATCTAATAGTTTACCGAATGTAGATTCGCATTTTTTCAACATCTTCAAGGCATCGTCCTTTCTCATTTTTATTTTTGGAACTTGTGACTTTTGCAAAATAATGGGAGCAATGGCAATTTCATCTGCGATGAACTGCAGGTCGTTGCCATTATTTTCTATAGTTTCCTCATCACCTGAGGATGACATGTTTATTAATTTGATAAGAAATTGTATCCAGTAAAAATACGGAACGGTCTGTGCAAGCTCTGGAGTACAACTGTCAGTGATGCTGAGTGAACGAACTCCCACGTCAACTACAAGCTGGAACAAGTCAGGACATATCGCTCAAGATACAAATACCAGTCAACCTTTTACTTCTTCTTGGAGGATATCTTTGCGAGTATAAGGTAGTCATTATGAATATGAAAACAAGGATATGCTTATACTTCTACCTTTTTCTCCGAAGCAAGACCTTATACTTTTACCTTATGGTTCCGAGGATATGCTTCTCTCTTACGAATACGGCTCAATGAAGAATAGATTATAGATATCTTATCGACAATTTATGATTATGCAGTAATTAATAGCAGATGCGATTCTGGCGCTCAAGCGCTAGTACGAGTAATTTTTAGCTTTTTTGATAGGTTCGCCTCAAGACTGGGGTTTGGCTTCCTTCGAAAAAGTTGACTCATACCTTTCGATGTGACAGAAACAGAACAAAAACTAATTAATAGTCAATAAATTGCAATACCCTAAAGCTACGTTTACATTAGTGAGATTTTTTCAAAGTCAACGCGGCGTTGAATTCCTTGTAAAGAACAACAACAATGACGACTTTGCCGTGCCTTGTGCCTCTTTTGAGTTCTCGTACGACTCGTGCCGCATCCATTTCATTGTCAACTTATAAAAATAAGCTTGTTTGACCAATATCAACATGACTGTTCACAATACGTTCCTAAAAGGTGTGTAAATAATTTACTTTCTTTATTAATACAACAATTCTTTGAGTTCTTGGTCGAAGAATTACAATCGATACATTCACCATCTCTGCAAATCGGGCAAACCTCTCCATGTTTCTCATAAACTAATTATAGTTTTGATTGAGAGCTTTTATTCAGGAAAGCAAGAAATTATATTATGTTCAATTTTGGGAAAAATTGACTTTCCAGATGTCTTGTGCGGAGTCCTTTGATAACCAAAAATAAGTGTGTTGAAATGAGTTCACTGTCAAATCCGCCGTTATATAGCAGCCTAGCTCAACAACGAAAGGCAATATACGTATACGACCAACGACGACGGTTATTTTATAATCGGATAGTGGTACCGTCCAAATGATATCTTTGTCCCATAGAGCTATATCCGTGTTTGACCATACCGGTTTGCATCATGATCATCCCAACGTCTGAAATGGCAAAACAAACAGAAAAGAACAAAAACATATAAGGAAATAAGTTCAAGATGACGCATGATGATATGGAACGAAATCAAAATAACATCATTTTGAATCTACTGGGACTCAAGTCATTCTGTGATTGTTCATTCTGTGATTGTGGGTATTTTAACTGTAGCTTTGTTTCAGCACAGACATGGAACACGTTTATTATTTTTTTTAAGTTTAGGCATGGGCAGTTGAGAGTCCTAACCGTTTCTTCTTCTTCTCCTTAAAGCAGGATTTATTAGTTTTTGTGGAAAGAAGAGCGTGAGTCAATGTTGAAGATTTGGTTAGCAAAGAAACTAACAAAACACTTTCATCCAAACAGCTCTCGTAGGAAGAGAAGTATTTAACTATACAGGGTGGCGCATGGAAAACGAAACAGACGCATTTACTGGCAGCTCAGATTTTTTTGGAAAAACGCTCAGACCCGTCGATTTTGTTTTCGAGGGGGACACAAGTTTGGCAAAAAATCACGTTAACACGTGCAGCCCCATGGGCGGGGGTGACACCAACCCGAAAATCTTAAATGCAAAGGGGGGTCGAGTGATACCTTATTTTGAAGGACGTTTAATTCCCTGTATAATGATGTAAAATACATGAGCTTCAGTTCAGTAGTTTTGAAGATTTATTGATTTAAAGCTTAAAGTAGACTTTAATAGGTACATCAGATTAGTTTGTACTACTTTCAGAAGAAATTTAACTAAAAGAATTTACTTAATAAGCAAATGCTTTTCTTCACTACGCCCATGGTTTGTTTATCATTTTGTTGTTGAAAATAGCTATTGGAGCGTTTTTTTTGTGGCAAAAAAGTTATTTCTTGAAGAAAGAAAAGGAAATATCTCGTACTTATTTTAAATAGGAATTTAGTACATAGTTTACGATTGATTTGACCAAACTTTGTTGCTAAAATAACTTGTAACGCTTGATTACATAAATTAACCATGGTATATTCCACAGCAGAAAGACTTGAAATTATCGAAATATTTTTCGGAAATAATCAGTGCGCTAATAGAACAGCAGAAATATTTAATGAGCGACATGAGAACAGTAACGTGCATCTAAAATATGTTCTAGAACGTGTAGCTAAATTTCGGGAAACTGGGTCAGTCGTCAATAAAAAACGCAACATTGAAAATCCCATAAGGAACGAAGCAGTAGAAGTGGGGTTTTAGGGCAAGTTTATGTAGATCACGCAAATTGGAGACTGTGTGTGGTGTTAGTCGACGTACTGTCCAACGGATTCTAAAGGCCCATAGTTTTCATCCGTACAAAATTCACCTGGTACAAGAACTTAATGACGACGATTTTGATCAGCGATTACAATTTTGTGAAGATATGAGTGAACGAATTATAAACGATGAACATTTTCTATTCAACACTTCCTTTTCCGACGAATGTTCCTTTTTCTTAAATGGCGTAGTAAATCGTGATAACTGCCGATATTGGTCCGATTCTAATCCCAGAATTTATCATGAGGTTCATACACAGCAGCCACAAAAATTAAATGTTTGGGCTGGTATTTTTGGCGACCATTTAGTTGGTCCTTTTTCTTACCTGGAAACTTGACCGATGAAATGTATTTGGAATTACTGGAAGACGCCATAGATCCTGTATTAAAAGCCATAATTGAAAATCAGAATGATCGGCGGTACATTGCGAATAGGTTGATGTTCCAACAGGATGGTGCCCCACCACATTATGCATTACGTCTTCGACAATATTTAGATCAGACGTTTCCAGATCGATGGATTGGTAGAAAAGGTGCCATTGCATGGCCCCCAAGATCGCCAGATTTATAACCCTTGGATTTCTTTATGTGGGGTCATTTAAAAAGCAAAATCTATGCTACTCAGCCATTAGAAGACCTGCGACAAAGAATGGTGAATGAGTGCTTTCAAATTACTCCTCAAATATTGCAAAATGTGCGGCAACGTTTTGAGCAAAATCTTTATTATTGCATGGAGAGTCATTTACTTGCCTAATGGGTCAGTTCGTTATTCATTTTTAAATAACTTTGCTGCCAAATGTATTGATCTCCACTAATGATGATGTATTAGTTTTATTTAAGCTTTAAATCAATAAATCTTCAAAACTATTGAACTGAAGTGCATTAATTTTTTATCATTATAAAGGGAAATGAAAGACCTTTAAAATAAGGTATCACTCTACCCCCCTTTCCATTTAAGATTTTGGAGGCGGTGTCACCCCCGCTTAGGGGGCTGCACGTGCTAACGTGATTTTTTGCCAAACTTGTGACCCCCTCGAAAACAAAATCGACCGGTCTGACCTGCCAGTAAATGCGTCTGTTTCGTTTCGAAGCGCCACCCTGTATATAATTTAAAGTAGTTAAGGGTTCCACTCTTCTGAACTTCATGCAGGATATTCCTTTGAACTATGATCTTGTTAACGTACGTTGCCATACAAGTAACGTTTTAGCACTTTTATGAAAACGATTTTGCACTCTGTGGGGAAGTTTTTTTGAGCAGGACCAACTCACCGCTAATGTTACTCGTTTTTCCCAAAGTAACTCCTAACTCGGAAACTAGCCGCTCCACAGTATCATACCCTGTATGGAATAAAATTAGGATTTTGCCACGAACCTTTTAATATAAATACAATACATAGTTATTTTTGTGCGCCTAAAAAACAACTTTAGATAATGGCGAGAAAGTTAAAGAAATATCTTCAAATAAAATGTTTTGCGATATGATAGTAATATTTTTCATATTTGAAGCTGGTATAGGTAGGTATAGTTTGGATGAAGGCAGCAGTTTCAATCCAAAAATTTCCAAACCAAGAAAGCATAAAATATAGCGATGTAACTTCTTGATTTGAGATGCCTCAACGACAAATCAAAAAGCAATCTAGCTTTTATCTATCTACCTGTGATAAATGTAAAAAGCATTCATACAAAATACATTGAATTCCAGTACTATGATTCAAAGTGATGTTAGTCAAACTCGTATAACAAGATTTCATGTACTAAAGCAGATAAGCCGATTGTTAAATAAGTTAACGTCACATGTCCCTTTTTTCAACAGCCTGTCTGGAGGATATTTAATACTTTTTGTCTGATTGGTTCACTGGTTCATAGATATGACTGAAAAACAATGATTCTGTTTTGCCAAGAAATGCATTTTTGTGCATTTTTTTCTTCAATCTCAAGTCGTTAGCTCTAGAATCACATTTCCAACGGTTTGAAGCCGACTGAGCATGTGCAATGGAGAAGCAAGGATTAAGCCTAGTTGGGGATTATCGGTCCGCTGCGCTGTTTCAGCAAATCAATTGAAAACTGGTTTTGGACGATCCAAACAGTACACAGGATTTGGCGGGACTCGCAATTCTGCACAAGATCTTGCTTTTATATAGGTGACTCATTATGATTTGGGGTTACGGTTTTTGGATTGTATTGGTGGACTTCTTTATATGAAATTTGGTATGTTTTTTATTGTGTTTTATATTGCTCACAGAAATATCAGATTCATAAAGTTCAAATTGAGAATCCGATTGGATCAGTTTGAAACTGCATGGGCGTTGAAGGAGTACAGCTCTAAAACTGTATATGAATATTTCAGTTTTATGGAAGAATTGTGCCGGCAATTTCAGAGTTGTACCAGGATTTGTTAACATGCATTTAAAAAAAATGACAAAACTTTCTTTTAGTCATCTCTATATATATATCATGAAATAATCAGATAAAAAGGATTTGAAAAATAGGGCGAAAAAAAGAGACATGCGACCTTAAAGTTCATAAGAAAGGTTATTGTAATAGATTAAGGATAAATGTATACTTACACAATCAAAGGATCAAATTATATATATATATATATATATGTACAGTTCGATCGACAGTACTATTGTAAAGGGATAATAATTATGAACCTAACCATGCATATAATAATGTGCAAAAGGGTACAGAATGTGTGTCAGTTTACATTCCGTTTACAGGCAGAGAAATCGTCAGTAAATGTTTTCTTCTACTGGATAACTTGTATTTCAGGAATAAACATAAAACGATCATGTTTGGCTTTTTAAAAAAGCTTATATGCTACAATTAAGTAGAGTGTTGTTCAACCCAAAGATCAAAGTGTAAAATACTCTTAGGAAATATCAAGCTTTTTCTGGCCAGATCAGGGAGATCATCTTACACTTTGCGAAACCCGCAGGTTTGTCAACTTTAGCCTAACAAACAGTTCGTTTAAGATAAACTAATCTTGAAATAATCTTAGGCATCTTGTAGAGGAATGTTGTAGCTTTAATCTAGATATGTGGCAACCTCAAAAATATTAATTTTTAACTGAGTCTCTATCATTGGACATTAAAACCTTCCTCAACAAGACCCTAAGAGTATTTTAATATTAGTTTATTTCAAAGTGTTTTTAAGCCTCACGAAAACGTGGCCAATCAAACAGTTGCTATGGAAAATTTTCATTACCCGTAACGCATTTTCTAATCACTGTCAGTAACTACGAGTATATAGGATGTGGAGCCACCTGTTGATGTATATTAGATTTTGTAGTATTTGAAAATATCCTATTGTTTAAAGTGGTGCCTAATTTATTTACATACCTATGTATGATTATGTATGATTGCAATATTGTTTTATTATTAGAAATAAAAGTATAATTTTTGTACATAGGGGCCGTTCAAGTATTACGTGAACACTATGGAGGGGCGGGGTGGTCTTTGCTTTGCTTATTTTGGATGACATGGGGGGTAGGGGAGTCTAGATGATAATTACGTCATCGGTAGTTATTTACTTTTTTACATGAATGGAAACCCTCACATTGTCTTTGCTTGAAAACGAAACGCATTTTCGGGGATTCCCGCAAATAATGCATACGTTTAGTGAACAGCGCGCGGTAATTCCCCTACTCGCTTTAGAACCGAGTAGGGGAATTACCGCACGGTGTTAACTTGTCTAACTTTCCTCTATCAGTGTACTGTTTCGTTTGGATATTATAGCGAGTAGACCTATTGTAAGCATAGTAAAGCAAGTTAACATTTGTGTTACTACAAAAATTGAAAGTTTTAAAAAATCTCATACAAGTACGAAAGTTAAAAATGTACAAAAGTTAGTTAACGAAGTGTGGCGAAGTTACAATTACAAGCAAAATCCGACAAGGAACTAGATGTTATTATATCTAAGAGAATCGAAAAAGAATTGCAAGCGGCGACTAAGAATAAATCCAATCTACTAATTTTTTTTTCTAAGGTGAGTGACGAAATCATTTTGGGTACCTATGAGTACTGGAAATATTAGAAATCGCCAAAAACGTTCTCTTTACTGATTAGAAAATAGTATGGCCTATCTCAAAGTATAGAGGTAATATTCATTATATTATAGATTTATTTCTTGTGATTGATTGCGTCAATTAGTCACAAAGTACAGGATGTTAGTTTTATACATATAAACAGAAAACTAACACCCTGTATTTTGTGACCGGAACGAATTGCTCGTTTAAACATATTAGATTTACCATATATATTTCCATACTTTGTATTTATGTAGCTTAATAAGAGAATCTTTAGCAGAATCCATAAAAAGTTTTTATTTTTAGGCAACCTGTAAACCTGCAGAAAAAACACAAATACAGTCAGCTTCAAATATTAAAAAGAATTAATGAAAATACAGATAAACAGAGAGCAAAACCTTCTCAGGAAGCTATGAAAAATACGATTGCTCTACTCGAAAAAAATCTGATGCTTTGTATTCTGCCAGAGATACTATGCCAAGCCGTGCTGAAGTTGATAAACAGATCATTAAGTTGCGCGAGGAAATAAAAACAGCAAAACAGTCTTTAAACAGGAAGGTTCAAAACGCAGTTGCCCAGAAGAAACACAGGGATGGTATGAAAAGAAAGTTAGAAGATATTTGTCATGAAAATCCAGAAATAAAAAAAGACTATCTCTGAGGGATTCAGTGGGACGTCCTAATCTTGAAGGCAATCAACATTCACAATTGAAAACAATCGCGGATATAGCTTTATTTGGGAGTGCAGCAGATGATAGAAGACGAACGGAATCAATTTGCAGCGTAAAAACTCTTGATGAACTCACACAAGAATTACGTAAAATAGGATTTGACATTAGTCGCAGTGGGACATATCTTCGTTTGATTCCCAGAAAATCTAATTCTGCAGAGGGACGAAGGCATGTGTCGACAGTCCCTGTTAAGCTCATTCGGGCTCAAACTGATCACCACAAGAGCCACTTAGTTAGCAAGTTCGTTGAAACATCAATCCATTATTTAGAGAACATAGCATCCATACTTGGACCAGATCAAGTATTTTTCATATCTCAAGATGATAAAGCTCTAGTCCCTTGGCGTAACTGCGGCAAATAAGCAAGCACCTCTTCTAATGCACATGGCATATAGAATCAAATTGCCAAATCACGATTGGGTAATCGCTGAGCGTCATACATTAATACCATCTGTTTATGGCTGGTATCAAAATAACTTCCAATATGCTACGACAACCGCAAGCCGTTGGATATTCTGGACCAACATACATCGCTATTCGAAGTTTCGACCATTAGGTAAAACTGACCATGGACTAGTAAAACCATCAGCCAAATCATGACGGTTGATGGAGGGCCAGATGAAAATCCACATTATCAAAAAGTCATAATGTTTGCTATACAACACTTTAAGCGACATGATCTCGATGCATTGTTTTTAGCTACCAATGCTCCTGGAAGAAGTGCGTATAACAGAGTAGAGCGCAGAATGGCTCCTCTTAGTCGGGAACTGGCTGGTTTAATATTGCCTCATGACCATTTTGAGTCTCATTTGGATGAATGTGGCGTTACAATTGATGAACATTTAGAAAGATCTAATTTCGAATTTGCAGGAAATGTATTAGCTGAAGTATGGAGTTCAATGGAAATTGATGGCTATAATGTTGATGCAAAATATCTTGGGGCAGGTGAACAACATCTTCCTGATTTTCCAGACATTAAATGGTATTCAGAACATGTGCGTGAGAGCCAATACTTGCTTCAAATTGTAAAATGTAGAAATACAGAATGCTGTCGTCCAAGAAATGGCCTATTTAGATTACTAGACAATAGGTTTCTTCCACCTGTAAAAGTAAAACAAACAGTTGATGACTTGGTTTTGGATGAAGGAGGGCAATTTCTTAATCTTCCAGTCAATTTAGCTCTACGCTTAAGTGCTTCACTCAAAGATTTCCTGCAAATGCCCTACGATTATTTTTGTCCGATGCAGAACGTCTGATCTTTATCATGCTTCCGTCAAGTCACTAAATCATCTAATCGAAAATATCCATAAAAAAGTAAACACGCACACTGATAGGAAAGTTAGACCTGTAAGAGTCGCTGCTCGTCGTGCTAATGAACTGATGTGCATTATTCCAAATTTAGAGCGCCATGATGTTGAATGGCTCGATGAGAACGACGTAGACATTCCAAAATCCGATGAAAGTGAGCAAACTCACAACACTGAGCAGAAATCGAAGCAATCCAATGTCATCGAAAACTTAGAATCATGGATTCGGGTTTCATGGACTGAAGACTGTTAATTTAAATTTAATACATGTACCAAAAATTTAAAATTAGTTTGTTAAGTTAGTAAGATATAATATTTTTGTCCTTTACTCTATGTTGAATACCGTATCAGTAAAATATAATCTCTATCCTAAATCTATTTTCTTATTTTTCAAATTATAATTATAACGTTATAATTATAAAAAAACATTAATTGACAAATGTTTACGTAAGCATGGGGGGAGGGGGTAAGAGCTTTGCTTACTTTTGACGAGGGGGACTGGGGGGTAAATAATTGTAATAAATCTGTTTACGTAATACTTGAACGGCCCCATATGACCAAGCGGCCTTATTCAGTTTCAGGTATCCTTTTCCCTACTTTCTGAATTTTAAACAAAAACTTGCTTCTAATGAAGGGTGATATATTATAACCTGTTTCTAGACAACTAGACAAACAATTGGTGAAACTTGATCCCATATATAATAAGTTCACAATCAATGAAACTAAAAAATATCGGATTTTATTAGAGTTTTATTTTGATTTGTAAACATGAACTATCATAATCAAGTTCTCAATTTTTTTTATATCAGATTCGTCAGAGTACGGTTATAATATGGATTGTTCACTAAAATGCAATTTGCTTTTTTAAAATTCCAAATATGTAAATATTCTATAAGATCCAAATTTAATAATTCATTAAAACTAGACAAACAGTTTTGCCTACACTAATGAAACAAATTTAATGAATACAATCAAATTGCTTTACTTAAAGCAGCTAAACTCATTTTATTAATAGTTCATTAATTTTAAATAAATTGGTAATCGGAGCTTATTAAACTAATTAAACTTGTTAGCTTTCACATAGTTATTTAAATTTCTTATTTAACCTAGTTAAAATTCATCGTTTACTTAAATTCTTTTCTCGCTGTTGAATGTTAGGGAAAAATTGGCGAACTTTTGGTTTTCGTTGTCGTTTTTTATCAATATGATTTTTGTATCTAAAATATAGAAACCCGTTGGTTTTGTATTTTGTTTGCCAGGAATCCAGTATCCAGTAGAACAAAAAAGGAACGTAGGTTTCTACCAAATCCGATACAAACGGTAAATAAATTTGTAAGGTTTGTGTGCTATGCGCATAACCAACGTGAGCGAGTGACTTGAAAAACGTGAATTCAAAATATGCATAAAAAATCGTAAGAAAATTCATGACATCATCAGCCAAAGTAAAAACTAGGGCATAGGAGAGAGAAAAAATAAAATAACATAATAATAAAGAAGTGATCATATCCTCAGTCAGGCCAGAGATCTAGAACGATGTTGTTGATCATTTACCTAGATCGTGGGACCAGTTACGCTGTTGTACTGCCACTAAAAGCCGTCATTAACATCATCATTTTCCCAAGTTGGACAAAAAAGTTTATTTAGTTTGCGGAATACATGACTCACGATCGGTCTGATTCACAAAATCGTGAGGTGGTTTCTTTCCCAAATTCTCATTTCAAATTACACTACAGATAAACTATAAATATTTTGTGCCAATAAGGGCTTCCTAAGTGAATTTAATTATGTCACCATCTCACGAAATTTTCTCAGACCATCGAAGAAACATAATATCGTCAACCGATAGAGAGAATCAATATATTTACAAGATTCACCAGAACATTTAGAGAATGAAGTATTTTGGGATAGAAAATTTAATGCACTTTGTAAAATACGTATAAATAAATAAAACTCACAGTTTTTGCATTTGCATTTCTTGATCAACGTCTCATCTTTGATCTCATCGTGGCAGGCTTTGCAGTAGAACCAAGCTCTGGAATAAAAAATGGCGTCAATCAGGTTGACTATACACTTCCCACGCAGCACAGTCATCAATTCATAAAGGATTATGTTGAACAAAAGTTAGACCCTATCAAAATAAGACAGCACGATCGACCTTATATCTTGTATAGAGGATTGTTGCTATGTTTTCGTTTGTTGTCCCAAGCCTAGAACCATGCTGGTTGGACGGAAGAAAGTATAACCTTTAAGTTGGATCCTCTAAGAAAAAAGTTAGATACGAACATGGATAAAAGAGAAATTAAACGGATCAAGTCCGTCAAATAGGTTTGTACATAATTGTACGGACTAATGTCCATGACTTCCTTTCTCAGCTTTTCCCGTAGTGCCGTTCATCTGGCAACGTGGTCTCACGTCTCCCTAATATTTAAAAGCAGATGCAGGGACGTTTGTGAAGGCATTCTTTTATTGTTCTAAATTTTAAGGGAGCAATCTGTGATGTGTGAAAAAGTCTAATAGGTACGTAGAGTTATCGGGGCTAGAAGCGTATTGATATGAATGAATAAAGAAATGCCGGCCATCAAATCTTTCATTTATTTCATTTTTATCGTCTGTTTTGTCAGCTTGAAATTTCCTGCATTTCAAAAAGAAAACATATCCTCACAATAGGAGAGCGCTAACACAGCGGAAATATAGAAATACCCCAGAATTTCTGAACGAGATAAAAGGCTATGAAAATCAAGGAGGCCATAAAGGCGTCGTGCAATTGTGGGAACGACTGACGATACGACCCTTAGTGCCTTCATGGCAGTTCCGCCCTTCCTTCTCCAAAATGCGGGATATGCAAGTCAGAATCGCGTATATTTCCGCCTAGAAAATTGTGGTGTACCCGCCCTCGTTTGATACTAAACATTAAACTTGCGATTGAAGCGATATTTAGGGGTGATCAGATCAACCCTGCTCGGGAGAATAGGATCCTCCTTTACTGGTACAAGCCAAACACTGAATTTTGTTGAGTTTGGCCAATGCAAGGGCACCAAACCAAGGAGCCAAACAAAAGAGGTGAACGTTCTGCCGACGTATAGAGTCAGTGCATCACTTTGTGTTTAAGCCCCCCGCCTGCAAGCCCACAATAAATCGGCAGCTTTGTTAAACTTATTAACCAAGCTGTTCCCAATTCAGCCTACAGTCCAAGGTAATTCCTAGATATTCTACGGATTGGGATAGAACTAGTCTAGTCTGATAACAGATCGGCTAACTACCATCAAACAATTGCGATACACCAAAAACTACAGATATTTCTCGTTCTTGGCATAGTAGTAACCTTGTGTGAAAGTTTCATCAAAATCCGAGCTGTACTTTCTAAGTTATAGACGGACCGAGAACATGGTTTTTTGTGATCATAACATCCAAAAAACATATCTCATTCTCGAGATTTTTCATGGTTACGATACTCGTACTTCCTCGCAACTAGCGTGCAAAGTAAAAAAATATACTCAAATTCCTTTGGCTACATTCAAATATTCTGAAAATACATAATGATATTTTTGTACTGGTGGTGATCTTACCTTTTGACTTCGTCTGCAGATTGCGCTATAAAGAAACCCTGAGTGTTGGCCACAATCTTTGCACCTCGAGGGTTGATCGAGATTTTGTTGTCCGCACCCTCATATCCTTTCACTTCTATCGCCAACAACAGCAGTTTGAGTTTCGTGAAGCACAATCTATACAAATTTTCCGTTAGTTATCGTGTTTAGCACTATTTGAAGTTTTACATTCATTCTAAATGTGATTATCCATACTACATATGTCATGCAATTTTTGTAATTTGATTACACAGTGTTGGAGTAAGAGAACAAATTCGAGCAGTAAGAAAAGAAAGTGCGTTTCATAATCGTGCCAAACTATTATTTTAATGCCTGAAATATCCAGAGTTCAATTTCTTTTTCATAGTGAGAATTATCTTTGTGGAAATTTTCATTTGACGAACTGCACACGAATAGATCAAAAATTGATCCGTCACTTATCAGAACAGAAATATTTATAAATGATAATGATGATAAAGCAAGCTCTAACAAGATTGTTGATATTAAGGAAAATATATAGTATTATAAATAGATTATCTATTTGGACGAACCGGTAAAAGGCATATATCACAACAACAGTATCACAAAAGCAACACACACATAAACATGCACATTTTAGTTTGGTTTTGGATAACATAAATATTGTTAGACAGGTAAATAAGCTTTGCTTACAAGCTTTGCTTTGCTGAGGCTAAAATTGCAGTCCCTGAAATGGAGGTGCGGCAATTTTAGCACGTTGTCAATCTCCATCCCCCAAAGTGGAAAACAGGTCATATACACCAAATATATTACTGATATATTATTGGAAATGTGTTGAGGAATTGTCAGAATAGTCACACAAGAATAATTTAAGAGATTTGTTAGTAAAGGGAACAGGTCCTTTAGAGAGGAAATATAATGGGGTTTTAGCTGCATTATAGAGGAAGTAACAAAAATAATTTTAAGTTTGATTCTTTAGCTTTCGCGTTTGAAGTAGAAACTGTAGAAACGCATTCCTAACCAATGCGATTTTTAAATAACTTGTCGGAATTGACTATAAATTTAAAGTAACGAGATATTGATGTCAGATAGCATTGTGTAAGTAAAAATAATCTATTCTAACACTATCTATTCTGTATGAACCGATAAAGAGCATGATATGCCGACAAGGATACAAATAAAAGTATTTCTATCAATTCTAACTCCTCTATCTATTTATATTCTTAATCTAAGCCCTATTGGCAGCACTTCTACTACGTACATGAAGTTGTTAGAATGTAACCATTTGAACTGTTAAAGTTTGTTGTTTGTTGGGTAGGTGGAGGAGTTTTTCAAACGCGATGCCACGAATATTTTCTAAAAACAATCTACTTTCCAATTTAGAGTTGGAAAATAGAATTTTGGGAAAATTTTTTATTTGTTAATATTGTCGCATTTTTCAGACTTCATCTTTAAAAAGAGTTTTTAAAAACAAAAGAAAATGGATCATTCTAAAGTTCTGGCATTACGTTTCGATGGAATTTTGGATTACTGGGAATTATGTTATTCTGTCCCGTAGATACACCACTGGGATGTTCAAAACCACTAGAATAATTATAATTTTAATTTACAGATTTTCAAAAACATCAGTTTGTACTTTTTGCTTTTTCGTGATCGACATTCCAGTGATGTAATTCAGTTAGTGTCGGCGAGTTGTTGTGTGTGACAGTTGGCAGGTGGTTGGTTGGTGTGTGTTTTTGGGGGGTCTTACTCGCTGGCCTGCGGGAATGTCATGCCCGTGAACGAAGGGGAGAGAGTCTCAGTGTACATCTCGCAGCCAGTGCCTTGCAGGTAATCGTTCTGCCACACTTGCGTATCGGGGGACTGAAACCAACACAAATACAACACAACTCTAACACATGTTTCAGGGCATAATAGATCTGGCAACGTCGCATAGTTACCAGCCAACTTTGATGTAGCTGATTTCTGCGATTCACGGTTGGGAGGATTGTCTGTGTTGTGTGTGTATGGTCAGCTTTAGTAAAGGAGACCAGGTGTATGGCGAGCAATATCAGTGAGGCGATAAGGGCATGGATTTTTTTCAGTAGGGCGGGGAGGGAGTCGTTTGCAAATCCTCACAGTAACCAAAATTATATATAAAATCATAATCAATACGCCCTGCGGGCTCTTATGGGTAAGATTCTAAAATCGCATCGACAGCTCTTTAAATTTATATGATGGTCATTACCTCTTTCGCTGTTCGCTTGTAGCAACTGATAAAGATAAAGAAAATTGTGCACAATGGCAGAAAAAAATAGCTACAGGCCAGCGGCAGCAAAACTTAATGAAACTCATTTTATGAATCAGACATTTTTATTTGTTTTTCATAGTTTTGAAGATCAAATCAGACAGGTGACGTCCCCTATTCTCCTTATACAGAGTAAATTGATTTCTGGCGTTTGTCATGACACTTGCCAGCGTAGTAGGCGTTATGATGGCAATTTCTTCCTGGGTGGGTCTTAGGGTCCTCTAACCAAATGAAAATGAGCTTCATCACAAAAATTTAACGAGAATACAAGTCATGTTCAGAAATATCTTGCACAATTGACACATTGTAAGGATGGAAATGAAGATGATCATGAAGAAGTCTCCTCATAGAATGATTGGACATTCCATGGGAAAACGCATGTTTGCGTGCAGAACGCCGTAGTAATTGCAACAATGAAGCTCTCGCTGCCTCAATGCTTTCAAGTCATCTAATGGGCAGATGGACTCCAGTCATTCTTCTTGCTGCACTTGCAGTTTTCCTGACCCTAGCGGTCCACGTAACAATTGCAGGGTCCAACGGGGCTAAATTAAAACGATTGCGAAAGGCGCACTTGGGTTGCGATGACAGAAAATCCGTTCAACGGCAAAAGCACATGAGAATTTTGAAAAACCCCTCCAGGCTGAATTGGTCGTGAATCTGTGGCTAATTAGGCGCTGGTCCTAAAACACTTTCCGTTTTTATGAAATCATTGCTGGTTTTCAAAAACGTATTTAGAAATAGACCTTGAGAATGACTTTTATCTAGTCTTGAAAAAATCGGAATATTCCTATTTACCTTAAGCATGATCTCAAAGAAAATGCACGCCCTGTCTAACTTATTGGGAAGGATTTTGTTTTTTTACTAAAATCATGTAGTTTAAGAAAGGGATAAACCTCTAAATGCAGTTAATTGAATTGGTACAAGTTTATGGCTGGCCATTTTCCGTAGAGAGGTTGAACTCATATTGGATTATTTAGTCGGCGTACCTAACAAGCTCTAATGTTATTAATCATATCCAGTAAACAGTTTATTTTTCTCGAATTGCATTTATTGAGGCGGATTTTCTAATGCACGTCTCTTGAATAAAATATCGTTCATAAATAAATAAGATTCATTTCAATTACGATAATCTAGCAAGAAATAAAAATCTTATTTTTTTTAAATAATTTATTTACAAATCAACAATTGATCAATATTTCAAAATAAACTGTTCCCTAAGAAAGTATTACATCAGGACCACTAAGGGATGGATATATTGAAATATAAGAGATGTAGGATAAACAAACATCAACAGCTGATATCACAAAAGCTTGCAGAAAATAACATAAGGATTATAGGACACGCATCTTCATTTCATTATTCTGCGTAACCAGACACTCAAAAAAAAATATTTTTCACTTTTTGGTTAGTATGTACATATGGAAATATCTACCGAATCTACAGATGTAGACCAACAGTTTTATTTTAAACAAGGGGCTTAATAGACCTGGCGTACTTTATGAGCAGATATTAACCGAGAAGAGGTCAAACAGTAATCCGGATCTTTCCCTGTCATCTTTTGATTGATTTTTTTAATCCCCTCGTCTCTTAAATCATTACAAAAAAGTTATTTTTGCTCCCACAACCCAAGAGTTGCAAAAAAAGGCAAAAGTTGGCCGGCAAGATCAGGATCATTGGTCCGTGACCTTTTCTCATTTGATATCCGTTCATAAAGTGCGGTCGTCACATTTAGGAATCCACCTCCTACACAATATGTACAGTCGGAGAAAATCAGAAGGTCGCTAATTTTTGCCTAACAAACTAGGTTGAACATCGCTCAAAAATAAATTAATTTTGAAATACTATTCGGGTTGTTGTAGAAGAAGGTTTTAGCTCCAATTTAGATACTTGTCAATCTCAGAAACAACCGGGTATTTAATCACTGAAGCTGAGCATTTTGAAGGTTTTTGAGACACTAAATGGCTTATTTCTCGGAAACGACTAACTTTAAAGAAAAGTTACTAAGAATCTTTCTTGTTCGAAATGACCAGAGAAATCATAAAAACTTGTCGGAGCGAAAAAAGTTTTATGTGATGATTTAAGAGAGGAGGAGATTAAAAAAATCGACCAAAAGGTGACAGCGCAAGATCCGGATTATTATTCTTTGTCCTCTTCTCATTAGATACCGTAAACCGGGGCGGGGCTTCTTCCACTGTCAGGGTAACTTCGACACCAATTGGGTTTCTTCGACATGCTACGTGCAAGTGTTCGTTTTCTCGGAATGTGTGAATGGTCAGAAATTACGTTAAAAAGGTGGGTGGTAGGCGATATCGTCAATTCAATGAAACAAATATGCAGGATGCAATTGCAAGTAGGGAGTGGTATGAGTAGGAAAGCAGCTAGGACAACCCTTTTGGAGAGAATTAGCGGAAAACATACAAGCAAAGTTGGCCATCCGACGGTATTGACAAAAGAAGAGGAAAGTTTAATTAGTGAAACTCTAACTGTTAGTGAGTGGAGATATCCTATGACCAGTAATCACTATATTGCATCCGTTATTTCAGGTTTTGTCAACAAACAGGGGTGTAACGTACAAATATGGAAAGATAACAAACCATGGTATGACTTTGTGAGAAGCTTCGCAATTAAGGTTTTTTTATATGTTGCTTCCACATATCAAGGAACATAGTCAAAAGGATGAACAAACAATTGTAATTGCATTTCTCCCTACTTGTTATACAGACTGCCAAGGAAAATAATATCTTCATGATTCCGCTCCCACCAAATTCAATCCATCTCTTACAACCGCTGGATGTCAGTTTCTTTGCCCCAATGAAAAGAAAATGGAGGGCAATCCTGGACAATTGGAGAAAGAATTTGTCCATTTAGCCCTGACACCATTTTATCCAAACTTCCTGATTTTCACGATTCATCTTCCACATCAAGGATGCTCGATGAGAGTCTACTAGATTTTCTCAAGAGATGTCGAGGAGCTCAAACAGATGAATCCGCCTCGCGGAAAAGAGGAAAAAAGCTAAAGACAAGGCCCGGAGAGCGAATGTGCTTGCCACCTGTTGAGAATCTTCCTGCAGATTCAATTT